ACACTGAGGGTTGCGATCCTTTGCCGGTCACGAAAAAAAACAAAAAGGAAAAAATAAAAAAAAAGACAGTGTGGTATGGTATCAGGATAGACAGAGAGATCAATGGAACAGAATAAAGAGTCCAGAAATAGATCCACACATATATTAACAACTGATTTTTAACAAAGGTGTCAAAGCAATTCAGAGGACGAAGGATGATCTTTTCAACATATGGTGCTAAACAATGAATACCCATTTGCAAAAACATGAATCTCAAAATTTAAAACATGAATACAGAAATATTAACTCCAAATGGATCATAGAACTAAATATAAAACCAAAAACTATAAAACTTCTAGAAGAAAATATAGGAGAATACCTTTGTGACCTTGGGTTAGGCAAAGATTTCTTGGATATACCAAAAGCATAATCCATGAAAAACAAGTTGATAAACTCGCCATCAAAACTGAAAACTTCTGGGGCCNTGGGGCCGGCCCGGTGGCGCACTGCTACAGTATGCCGCTTGGGAGCGCGGTGGCGCTCCCGCCGAGGGCTCGGATCCCACATACAGACCGGTTCCCGCTCACTGGCTGAGCGAGGTGCGGGCGCAACACCGAGGGTTGCGATCCCGTTGCTGGTCCGGTCCCCTACGGGTGCGACACTGAGGGTTGCGATCCGTTGCCGGACACGAAAAAAGACAAAAAAAAAAAAAAAAACTGAAAACTTCTGCTCTTCCAAAGATATTGTTAAGAGAATGACAAGCCAAGCCACAGACTGGGAGAAAATATTGCAAATCATGTATCTGATAAAGGCCTATAATCTAGAATAAATAAAGAACTCTCAAAACACAATAGTAACAAAATAAACCAATAAAAAATGGTCAAAAGATTTGAATAGACATTCCCCAAAGAAGATATACAGATGGCAAATAAACACATGAAAAATACTCAACATCATAGAGTTATTAGGTAAATGCAATTAATACCACCAGATACCACACCACACACCTATTGGAATGGCTCACATTAAAAGACTGACCAAGTGTGGCTGAGGATGTGAAGAACTGGAATTCTCATATACTGCTGGTGGAAGTCTGAAATGACAGAACCACTTCAGAAAACAGTTTGGTAGATTCTTTAAAAAGTTAAAACACACCCCTACCGGGCCAGCCCGGTGGCGCACTGCTACAGTGCGCCGCTTGGGAGCGCAGCGGCGCTCCCGCTGAGGGTTTGGATCCCACATACAGACCGGTTCCCGCTCACTGGCTGAGCGAGGTGCGGACGCGGCACCGAGGGTTGCGATCCCGTTGCCAGTC